TGGCAATTTGTATCTTCCTTTTTATTCATCTGGAAAAATAGGCCCATTTGATCTTCCAATTTCAATTTAAATTCTTTGTGATTTAAAATTGCTCTTTTCAGAGTCCACCTCCTTATTTTCTTTTGCCCTTTCCATTTAATTCTAATTGGATTGTCGTCAGCCCACAAATTTGTGTCAATTATGACATCTTCCACTTCCGAATTTAGGTCTGTTGACAGCCACACCATATCAATTCTGGACCATGAGAGATGTCGCCCCGAGAAATACGTATACTGCTTTTTCCCTGTATTCTTCTCCCTCCGAATATCCTGAATGTTAAACTCCTCCACCATTTCTAGAAAAGTACTAGGTAATGTTGGTCTAATTCCTTTTCTAGTCTTACCGCTTTTATAATCCAATTGTCTCCTTGATCGTATTGAAATCTCCCATTATGCAAATGTTATCATATTCGAACTCACTAATAATGCTATGTAGTCTTCTATAGAATCGTTTTTGACCTTCATTGGGAGCATAGATTCCCACAAGAGCTATTTTTATTTTGTTCAAAATTGCTTCTATTAAGATTCTACCATCTTCATCATTATAGATATGTTTTGTTGGAATTTCCTCATTAATATACAGTGGGGCAAAAAAGTATTTAGTCAGCCACCAATTGTGCAAGTTCTCCCACTTAAAAATATGATAGAGGCCTGTAATTGTCATCATAGGTAAACCTCAACTATGAGAGACAAACTGAGAAAACAAATCCAGACAATCACATTGTCTGATTTGGAAAGAAATTATTTGCAAATTATAGTGGAAAATAAGTATTTGGTCACCTACAAACAAGCAAGTTTTCTGGCTCTCACAGACCTGTAACTTCTTCTTTAAGAGGCTCCTCTGTCCTCCACTCATTATTTGTATTAATGGCACCTGTTTGAACTTGTTATCAGTATAAAAGACACTTGTCCACAACCTCAAACAGTCACACTCCAAACTCCACTATGGTGAAGACCAAAGAGCTGTCAAAGGATACCAGAAACAAAATTGTAGACCTACACCAGGCTGGGAAGACTGAATCTGCAATAGGCAAGCAGCTTGGTGTGAAGAAATCAACTGTGGGAGCAATAATTAGAAAATGGAAGACATACAAGACCACTGATAATCTCCCTCGATCTGTGGCTCCACGCAAGATCTCACCCCGTGGGGTCAACATGATCACAAGAACAGTGAGCAAAAATCCCAGAACTACACGGGGGGACCTAGTGAATGTCCTGCAGAGAGCTGGGACCAACGTAACAAAGGCAACCATCAGTAACACACTACGCCGCCAGGGACTCAGATCCTGCAGTGCCAGACGTGTCCCCCTGCTTAAGCCAGTACATGTCCGGGCCCATCTGAAGTTTGCTAGAGAGCATTTGGATGATCCAGAAGAGGATTGGGAGAGTCATATGGTCAGATGAAACCAAAGTAGAACTGTGTTTGGAGGAGAGAGAATGCTGAGTTGCATCCAAAGAACACCATATCTACTGTGAAGCATGGGGGTGGCAACATCATGCTTTGGGGCTGTTTCTCTGCAAAGGGACCAGGATGACTGATCCGTGTACAGGAAAGAATGAATGGGGCCATGTATCATGAGATTTTGAGTGCAAACCTCCTTCCATCAGCAAGGGCATTGAAGATGAAACGTGGCTGGGTCTTTCAGCATGACAATGATCCCAAACACACCGCCTGGGCAATGAAGGAGTGGCTTCGTAAGAAGCATTTCAAGGTCCTGGAGTGGCCTAGCCAGTCTCCAGGTCTCAACCCCATAGAAAACCTTTGGAGGGAGTTGAAAGTCCGTGTTGCCCAGCGACAGCCCCAAAACATCACTGCTCTAGAGGAGATCTGCATGGAGGAATGGGCCAAAATACCAGCAACAGTGTGTACCAACCTTGTGAAGACTTACAGAAAACGTTTGACCTCTGTCATTGCCAACAAAGGATATATAACAAAGTATTGAGATGAACTTTTGATATTGACCAAATACTTATTTTCCACCATAATTTGCAAATAAATTCTTTCCAAATCAGACAATGTGATTGTCTGGATTTGTTTTCTCAGTTTGTCTCTCATAGTTGAGGTGACAATTACAGGCCTCTCTCATCTTTTTAAGTGGGAGAACTTGCACAATTGGTGGCTGACTAAATACTTTTTTGCCCCACTGTATGCTACTACTCCTGCTTTTTGTTGTTGTGAGAGCACTGGAAACATATTTCCCAGCTTAGGGCAGTTTAATAAATGTTGATGCTGTTTTTTTATATGAACTTCTTGTAGAATTATTATATCCAAATTCATCTTGCCCAGTTTATTTAAGAATTTTTTCCTCTTTAATGGGGAGTTAAAACCATTAACGTTGAGGGATATAATCTCAATTTCTTCTTTTGCCTCTTTATCTATATTTGGATCTTGTTACTATTGTCGGTCTAGACCAGTGCTTCTCAACGTTTGTGTGACGGCGACCCCCGTCACACAAACGTTCTGTGCATGCGCGGCGCCACGCGCATGGGGGCGCCCCCCCCATGCGCAGCGCGCATGGGGGGTGGCGCCCCCCACGCGTGACGTGCATGTGCGACACCCCCCCACGTGCGGCGTGCGTGCACGGTGCCGCCCCCACGCGCGGCACGCATGCGCGGCGCCGCCCCCCACGCGCGGCGCGCATGCGCGGCGCCGTGAAAAATGGCGGATCGCCACCTTTGGCGACCCCCGAAAAATGGTCGATCGACCCCAAATGGGGTCGCGACCCATAGGTTGAGATCTGTTGGTCTAGACTTCTTGGCTTGTACTTCTCTTTCCACTGGCATCCTTGTCGATCTAACCTCTTTAATTGCCTTAAGTCTATCCTTGTCATATTTCCCGTTGTCTTTTTCAATCTCTATATCATCACCTCTCCCAGTTCCCTTATCTCTAATTTGTAATTCCTTTCCTTCTGTGGCCTGTGGCAGGATTTCACCTTCTTCTCTTGCCTGTCTTTCAACTAATTCCGCCTCGCTTCCAAAATTTTGTCTATAGAATTCCTCTACTTTGTCTATTGTATCCAGCCGAAGCCTCTTTTCCTGCCACACAACCATAATCCCTTCCGGTACCAACCATCTAAAATTAATATTTTTTCTTATCAATTTAGAAGTTATTGGTTGGTAAGGTCTTTTCATATCTCTCACCTTTCTGGGTACTTGCTTAAGCACAATTAGTTGTCAGCCTTGGTATTCCAATGGATTGTCTCTGGACCTAAATAGTATTTCATCTCGGACAGATTTCTTAACAAATCTAATATGGACCTCTCTGGGTAAGTTGTGCCGTTTCGCATACTTCGTGTGAATCCTGTAAGTCTCATCTATCTCATTCGCCATCTCCTCTTTGCTAGTCCTTAGGGTATCGAGACTGTTTTGCCATTGCTGGCAGTGGGGTGGGTACGGCTTCCGGGTGATGCATCCGGCCTGGGGGCTGCCAGTTTGACACCCCTGGTTTAGGGGTTGTCTCCAATGTTTCTTCTGTGATAAATACCAAGTCATCTGCAAATGCTTGTAATTTATAGCTTTCGTCTTTTATCTCCATTCCTTTAATTTCTGGGTCTTGTCTGATGTTCCTGTTCAAAACTCCCAATGTCAATATAAATAGCAATGGGGATAATGGATATCTTTTTCTTGTGCCTTTCTTTATGGTAAAATTCCCTGTGTAGTCCCCATTTACAATTACTTTTGCTGTTTGCTTATGATATATTGTCTGAATTAATGTATCTTGAAAGCATTTATAGCCATCTTCCCAGTTTCAAAAAAAAATTGTTTTGCCCTTCTGATTTGTTGAGCCAATTCTTCTGACTCTACTAGGTTTAATTTATGTTTAATTATCTCCATTTGTCTTTTACGAGGGTTCTGTTTGGATCTTTTTGAAGTTCTAGCTCTAATTTTTTAAACTCTTCCCTTAGTGTTGTACAATGTGGCTTTTTCTCTTTATTCTTTTCAGCCGTATAAGTCATAGCTAATCCTCTGAAGTATGCTTTGGCTGTATGCCATATGTACTGAATGAAGTGTCTTCTTTTTTATTTTCTTTGAAAAAGAATTCCATTTCCTTTACTGCTATTTCTGAAATTTCTTTTTTTTTTAAATAAGAGTTGACTCCATATCCACCTTAATTTCTTCTTTACTCCTGTCCAACTCAGCTTTATCGGATTATCTCAACCTCATGTATATTAGCTCTTAATTTAGGGAACATCCATATCATATCAATTCTAGACCATGATTTGTGTCTATTTGAAAAAAATGTATACTGAGTTTCTCTACTTAGGTAATCTCTTTCTTCCTTTTTTCCCTATTTTACTACTTTTGTAATCAATTTTTTCATTCACAATTGCGTTAAAGCCTCCTACTAAACAAATATTTTGATATTCCATTTCCAATATTTTCCTGTGTAGTTTTTGATAAAATATTTCTTGTTTATTATTTGATGCATATATTGCTATTATCAACATTTTTTTATTTATCGTCATTTCCACCATTAATATTCTTCCTCCTTGCTTCAAGATCCCTTCCAACTCTGTTATTCTGTTATCCATCAGTTAAAGCCGCCACATCTCTCCAATTATCTCAAAAGCTTTGACTGTAAACTATTTTGGGACATTTTTCCAGGCTTGAAAGACATAGATTTTCTCCATATACACACTTGTAGGTGTGTGTCTATATTTCTCTCTCTATGCATATGTCTGGAATTATATAATCTAGCCTCAGCACTTCCAGATATATTTGATGATAACCCTTTGGATTGTTAAGAATTTGTGATTATCCAAGTCAACAAGAGAATTTCATGACTGATCGGATATCTGAACTTCAATGTAGATAGTCTTCTATGTGTCAAATGAATCATAATTAATGTATGAGATTATTCTAGTATTGTGGCGTGTTTGCTTTTTCATTGTAATGTATATATTTTTCTCTTTTTTTCCATATCTCTAACTATTTAGTTACACTTTTCTTTGAATCTTATAGACAAAGAGGATGGGAAGAAGAGCCCTCTGGACAGCTAAGAATAACAAGCAACATTGAAAAGGAAAGCAAACTGAGCCAGAAATAAAAAAAAAAATCAATTTCCTCGTCCAGCAGCTCTTAGAAAAAAACAGAGAAGATTAAGAAAGATTTCAAACTGGAATAAGTAGATTATTCAGAACTCAATGATACATTACATGAAAAGTGAAGGGAAATTATTTCTCATTCAGTAAAAGAGGGAAATATCTGGAAGTCAGTGGAGGAAAAGGTGAGTAGGAACGTCACGTAGAGCAGACAGTCATGTAGGCCTCGCCCTGTGAGGAAGAAAATGGATTGAATGAAAGCATAAGGCATTGTCCATATTTTTGACTTCCTCAAGAATATCAGCTGTGGAAAAGCTCCGTACTTGTGTCTATTGCTGGAAAACCACAGATTTCAAATCACAACTGATTATGCACAAGAGGAGCAATACAGCAGAAAAGCCATACAAATCATCTTATTCTGGCAGAACGTTTAGTCAGAACAGTTCCCTTGTGGTTCATGGAAGGACCCACACAAGAGAAAAGCCATAAAAGCACTCCTAGTGCAGTAAATGCTTTAGTGAGCATGGCAATGTGATGATACATCAGAGGATTCACAGCAGGAAGAAAACCTATGACTGTACTGATTGTGTGAAAGTTTCATTACAAATTCCCATGTCATGAGACACCAGAGGACTCACACAGGAGAGAAATCTTTTGAATGTCTTGATTGTGGGAAAAGTTTCATTCACAATTCCCACCTGGTGACACACCAGAGTATTCACACAGGAGAGAAACCCTTTAAATGTCTTGAGTGTGGGAAAGGTTTCAGTCAGAATTTCCACCTGGTGACACATCAGAGAATTCACACAGGAGAGAAACCCTTTGAATGTCCTGATTGTGGGAAAAGTTTTAGTCGCAATTCCCACCTGGTGACACACCAGAGTATTCACACAGGAGAGAAACCCTTTAAATGTCTTGAGTGTGGGAAACGTTTCAGCCAGAATTCCAGCCTTGTGAAACACCGGAGGACTCACACAGGAGAAAAACCCTTTGAATGTCCTGATTGTGGGAAAAGTTTCAGTGACAGGTCCAGCCTTGTGAAACACCAGAGGACTCACACAGGAGAGAAACCTTTTGAATGTCCTGATTGTGGGAAAAGTTTCCGTCACAATTCCAGCCTTGTGAAACACCAGAGGACTCACACAGGAGAGAAACACTTTGAATGTCCTGATTGTAGGAAATGTTTCAGTCAGAAGTCCAGCCTTGTGATACACCAGAGGACTCACACAGAAAAGAAAGTGTATGAGTGCCCTGTTTGTGGGAAAATTTTCAAGAGGAATTCACACCTGTTGATACACCAGAGGAATCACACAGGAGAGAAACCCTTTGAATGTCCTGATTGTGGGAAAGGTTTCAGTCAGAAGTCCAGCCTTGTGAAACACCAGAGCACTCACACAGGAGAGAAACCCTTTGAATGTCCTATCTGTGGAAAAGATTTCAATCGCTATTCCAGCCTGGTGAGACACCAGGGGACTCACACAGGAGAGAAACCCTTTGAATGTCCTGATTGTGGGAAACGTTTCAGTGAGAATTCCAGCCTTGTGGAACACCAGAGTACTCACACAGGAGAGAAACCCTTTGAATGTCCTGATTGTGGAAAAAGTTTCAGTCTGAATTGCAAACTCTTGAGACACCAAAGGACTCACACAGGAGAGAAACCTTTTCAATGTCCTGATTGTGGAAAAAGTTTCAATCAGAATTGCAGGCTCCTGCAACACCAAAGGACTCACACGGGAGAGAAACCCTTTCAATGTCCTGATTGTGGGAAATGTTTCAGTCAGAAGTGCAACCTAGGGAGACACCAGAGGACTCACACAGGAGAAAAACCCTTTGAATGTCCTATCTGTGGGAAAGGTTTCAGTGAGAATTCCAACCTGGTAAAAAACCAGAAGACTCGCACAGGGGAGAAATCTTTCAAATGTCCAGTCTGTGGACGTTACTTCACTCATAAATCATCCCTTATTGCACATGTGGAAATCCAAACGGTTGTTGAGAAATTGACTATTTGAATTGTGCTCTGAATCTTTTTACTCACACATGTCTCAGGATTAGATTTGTAGGTGGAGAGAAAAGGAAAATGGAAAAGGGTTAACTACCAATTTCTGGTTAGCAGCAGCAGCTACTGGATATTTCCTTTTGTAGAAGTTGTGGATTTCCTCAAAAAGGCTTCTGGGTGGTAGTTTTGTATATTGATTATATAATTCCCACATGTGGAGTTTCAGGTCTCCTGCAGATTTTGAGGTCCAGAATTTCTCAGCCAGTGTAGAAAAGGTCCTCAAGATATAACTGTCATGGGCCTTGCAATTATGGTTGCATGTTGCAACGGCTGTTAAGTGAGATCTCTTTCCTAAACTATCCTGATCTCTCTGATGTAGCCATTGATTGAATGTGTCAGTCACTAAGTGGAACACTGCTACCTCAGGGATGGGGAAAACTCTTGGAGGCCTGGTGCAGGCCCAGGTTTGCCTGTTGTAGGCATCTCTAGGCCTCCCCCACCCTGTGCTCTGTTTCCCAACCCTTGTGCTGCCCAGTTCTTTCCCACCCCAGGATCTCCACAGGCTTTTTCTCCCTCCCATTGGGTCCCTGCCCACCTCACACCCTCCTCTTTCTAACACATACAGTTGTTAACCTGTAATCTGTCTCTTATGCAATTTGCATTTCTAAGTAATCTGTTTTACTCAGCTTCCCTTCCCTCCTCATTTATAAATTTAAAATGTCTCTTCCAACAGGGATCTTTATTAAGAGAAGCTGATTGTAGGCATGCTTTCTCCTTTCCCTGCTCCGCCGTCTGACATGGTTATTTTTTGCAAAGTCCCCGGCAAGGTTCTCCCTTGCAGGTGGACTAATTTTGCAGATCCTGTCTAATATAAGGACCCACCTCAATCTTACATCTTAAGAAGACAGAACTCTTGGAATGTCTCTTCCAACAGGGATCTTTATTAAGAGAAGCTGATTGTAGGCATGCTAGACAGGATCTGGGGAATTCTCTCCCATCCTTCAATGTTTTAAAGTGTTCCCAAGCAGCCCCCACCCCACAGTTCTTCCAGGCGACGATCCCTCATCCTCTCTTTTCCCAGATCCCAGGTGTTACATTGTCCCCCCCTTTTCTCTCACTGCCGGCAAAAGGGAGACTTCAGAGAGACTAGATGAAAGGCGATGGCCATATTGTTATGGTCCTCTTGATGAGAATCAACATCCAGTCACTTTGTAGTTTAATGAAGGAAGTGAGAGTCATAAAACCCCCTTGCTTATCCTCCTCCCCTTTCATACTATGACAGAATCCACAGAGAGTAAGAAATGGGTTTTTATCAGAGTAGGTAGCTAGAAATGAAATATAATTGGATTCTGACATCCTGCCCCCCTTAAAAATAAGAGAGATCCACCTGTAAAGAAAACAAAACAGATATAAAAGTTAGTCTGGCTTGTTAGGATACTCTGTATGAAACTTCTTTAATAGCTTCGGGACTCTGACATGACGTTTATGGACCCACTTATTTTGTGAGGTGGGGAGGTGTTTTCATGCTACTAGGTATTGAGTTGCTCCATGATATCTCCTAAAGTCTAGGATTTCCTTTATCTCGAAGTGTTGTTCTCCTTCCACCATTATTGGAGGTGGTTGGGGTGGGATTTTTGGCCGTAAGGATGACTGATGTTCTCTTTTCAACAAACTGCAGTGAAAAATTGGGTGTATTTGCCTAAGATTTTTGGGTAATTTTAATTCTACTGTTACTGGGTTTATGATTCTTTTAATTGGAAAAGGCCCTATATATTTTGGTCCAAGGGTTGTAGGGATTTTAGGTATTTTGTAGATAAGTACACCATTTCTCCTATAATGAATGGTGTAGGCTCAATTTTTTTATCGGCTTGTGCTTTATATGCTTACTTAGCTTCATCTTTTGCTTTTCTAACTATTGGCCAGGTGTTTTGTAATTGTTCCATCCATTCTTTCAGTGATGGGATTGCCGGTTCATTTGGGGTTAATTCTGGCATGGGGTTGAAACTTTGACCGGTAGCTATTTGAAAATGAGTGTAACCTGTGCTGCAGTGGACTGCATTATTGTAGGCCACTTCTGCGAAGGGTAGTAGGTCCGTCCAATCAGACTGTTGGAAATGAATAAAGCATCTTAAATATTGCTCAAGTACTGAGTTCGAATTTTCCACTTGCCCATCCCCCTGAGGGTGATAGCTATATGTCAGTCCCTGAGTGGCCCCTAAAAGGGATAAAAATTCCTTCCAAAATGCAGACATAAATTGCACTCCCCTATCAGATATGATGCGTTGGGGTGCCCCATGCAGTCTGTAAATATGCTGCACGAAAAGTTTCGCTAAGGCTTTTGTGGTGGGAATCTTTTGGCAAGGGATAAAGTGCACCTGTTTAGAAAACAAGTCTGTGACCATCCAGACGACAGTATTCCCATTGCTTTCTGGTAATTCCACTACAAAATCCATGGCTATTTCCCTCCAGGGGGCTGAGGGAGTTGCCACTGTTTGTAACCGTCTGGGTGATTTCCCTTGCAACCTCTTGGCAGTTGCACACTTTGGGCAGCTGGCCACGTAACTTTGTTTGTCCTTTTTCATGGATGGCCACCAAAATTGCCGTTTAATTAAGTGTAATGTTTTTACAAATCCAAAATGCCTTGCTGATTTTGTGTTGTGGCAAACTGCAGGAACCCTTTGGGTTGTTGGTATATATAACTTTCCCCCCATTCAAGGCAGCCTGTCTTTCATTGTGCACACGTGTTTATTTTTCTGGAACCATTCATCTGTTTCCAAACTTTTCTGGAATTCAATTTCAGTTTGGCTACCTAGCTGCGGTTTTAATTTAGCTTGGGCTCTGGTGGTTACTCATGCTGCCATTTGTGATTCCACCATCATCGGTTTAGAGTCGGTGGCTCGCATGCTGTTCTTTCCCCCCGGCAAATGCTTGAGCGTAAAGTGGAATTGGTGAAAATGCTGGGACCAGCGGGCTTGCTTGGCGTTGAGCTTCCTGGGTGTTTTCAAGGCTTCCAAATTTTTGAGGTCTGTCCACACCTGGAAAGGGACCTTATTATCTTCAAGGAACTGGCACCACGTGAGTAATGACCAACGTATCCCATATGCCAGTGGTGGTGAACCTATGGCACAGGTGCCAGAGGCGGCACTCAGAACCCTTTCTGTGGGCACGCGCGCCGTTGGCCCAGTCCTAGGCCTTCAGCTGGGTTTTATAAAACCTTTTTGCTTTAGGCCTCCGCCGCTGTGTGCAAAAAAAAAAAAGGTTCAATCAATCAGTCAATTTCAACTTCTCATGGGGAAAAAAAGATCTTGCAAAGTTGGAATTGATTGATTGTACTTTTTAGTCCCACCCAGTCTGCCATTACCAGCGCAGCCACACTCACCCAGTGGGCCACGCCCACCCAATGGGCCACACCCAGCCAATGGGTCACACCCACCCGGCACCCGATGATGCATAAGTGGGTTTTGGGTTGCAGTTTGGGCACTCGGTCTCTAAAAGGTTAGCCATCACTGCCATATGCCTCTTTCTCCCACACGGGCCAGCGCTGTTCTGTTTCAGTTAGTTTCTTGGATGTATACGTGCAGGGTTGCAATACCCATTCATCGTTTTCTTGAGCTCTGGGGCATTGCAGTCGTGCAAATTCACCTCCCAATCTGCAACCGGACCATCCAGAGCAGATTGCACCATCCGGATACGGGCTTTGTCGCTAGAGATGTGCTGCCTGTATTCCTCCATGTAGCTGAGGAGTTGGGTTAGGAAAAACCCCAAATGTGTCGGCTCCTCCTTAAATCTCGCATCCAGTGGTGGGAGTCTTTGAATGGATCGATGCCTTCGTTGCCAGTGGTATTGTCTTCCATCCAGATCGCCATCTGCGGGTTGGCGGGGAGTGGGGACTACTGGATCAGTGGACGTCCCCGGGGCTGCAGGTTCCAATTACCCCTCAGTGTTTCTCCAGTTGCGGCTCCAGCAGCTGGTGTGGCCACGGGGCTCAGAATTCTCCTCTCCTAGGGAGCTGAGGGTTCTCTTCATCAAGTCGATAGCTTTCTCTAGGATCCAGCTCAAGTGTGTTATGATGTTAAGAGCCGAGGTGGCGCAGCAGTTAGAGTGCAGTACTGCAGGCCACTTTAGCTGACTGTGTTCAGCAGGTCAGCGGTTCAAATCTCACCGGCTCAAGGTTGACTCAGCCTTCCATCCTTCCGGGGTAGGTAAAATGAGGACCCAGATTGTTGGGGGCAATGTAAATATATATATACATTGCTTACTGGTGTACACCGCTTAGAGAGTGCTTGCACTTAAAGCGGTATATAAGTCTCATAAATAAATAAATAAATGTCCTGGAATTTGGCTGGAACAAAAGAAACCACCGCCAGGCACGAAAAACAATGCTTTAATAGCAATATTAAACAAGCATAAAGTTGGCACTGGGAAACATCCATCCTCAGTACCTTTTTATAGTAATGGTATCCCCCACACCCAACACCACATCTGTATCCCCACACCCAACATTACTTGGCCCCACCCAATTACCCCGAGAAACCACCATCTGGTCCTCTGAAACACTCCAAGTGCCGTACGATCATCTCAACGATTAGCTGGCTCTGTGCATGTGTGGGATTGTCAGTATGCCTCATGGCTGCTTCTGCACATGCTCGGGTAGCCAGCTTGTCTCTTAGCTTTCTCTACACATGTGTGGCTCTGCCAGTCGACCTCCCAGCTGTCCGTGCGCTGTCTGAGCAATGGTGGTAGTGCGCATGCGCGGATCAACCCGGAAGTCCTCGCTTAGATGTCGGGCCACGCTTGGCCTCGTAGCGTATCGCTGCTTGATCCTTCAGCGGGCCGCTAACCATAGATCGTCATGGGGAGTCAGCGGCGGCCTCAGGAGTCTGTAGACAGCCGGGAGAGGCAAGCCCATGTCTTTTGGGACGTATGGGGCATCGATAGTGGATTGCCGTACCGCAAAGCCTCGCAGGGCCCGACATACCACCCCCCCTTACCAGGGTTCCCCCTAGGAAGGAAAACACAACATATTATTTCCAAGCCATTTTCAAGGCACCCCATCGGTCTTCGTAGAGGTACCCCCTTGTTTTCCGGGATACCATATATGGAACTTTTTAATCAGCCGGGGTGCATGTACTTCATTATCAACCACCCAAGAGGCTTCTGATAATGGATAGCCTTTCCATAGCACTAGATAGTACAATCTACCCCGTCTTATGCGTGAATCTAATATCTCTTGTACCTCATATTGGTCAGCTGCGATAGGACCAGGCGGAGTCATTACTCGATATTCAGATACCGGTTTCAATAAGCTGCTATGAAATACAGGATGAATTTTCCCCCAAAACTTGGGAAGTTGGAGCTTTACTGTGACTGGATTGATTACTCTAATGATTTTGAAAGGTCCTATATATTTGGGCCCCAATTTTTTACACGGAACCTTCAGTCGTATGTACTTAGTTGACAAATACACTGATTGCCCTACAGTAAAGGGTTTACCTGGTTTGCATTTTCTGTCTGCTTGCTCTTTCATTTTCTCACTAGCCCTTGTTAATGCTTTCTTTACTGCACTCCACACTTCACTAATTTTATGTGAGCAATCTTTGGGTAACCATGGATGGGTTTCAAATTTCTGACACTTGAGTATGGGAACAAAGTCTCTACCAGACACCACCCGGAAAGGGGTATATCCAGTACTACTGTGTACTGCATTGTTGTAGGCGTCTTCTGCAAAGACAACTAGATCGACCCAATCCGTCTGTTGATATGAGACACAGCTATGCAAATATCTTTCTATCGCCGCATTTGCTCGTTCTGCAGCTCCATTCGTGCTCGGATGGTAAGCCGAACTGAGTCCTTATGAGGAGCCAAGTAAAGACACAAAGTCCCTCCAAAATCGCGTTGTAAATTGGACCCCCCGACCAGAGATA